GTTTTATATAGTTTAAACTGTAAAATTTTGGAGTCAATTAAATCAATAAAAGCATGTGGCTGTAATTTTGTCCAAAAGCTGTTAGATAACATTCAGAATTAGTCAAATGAAGTTAGTACGACGTAAAATCTCTAGGGTGAGATGTAATATTCATTACCCATCTTGTCTGGTAGGATCAAGCAGTTTATTCTTTGGCCTTCTGGAACTAGATTTCCCTATGCATAAACAAGCATTGTAGCTGGAACAAGGTTCTATATCTCATTGAGGGATTGCCTTCAATTTGAACCACAATTTCTACTTATTTTTCCCCTAGTTGCTGTCCTTTCTTCTTAATATTCTTGTAGCCAATATGTGAAGTTTCCCTGGTGCAAAATCCTTGACACTCTACATTATTGAAAACTGTTTCAAATATTGTTGGTGCTTTTGTCACTTATATAAATAGCAATGAATCCCTGGTGATTCTCAATGGGCCAAATTTTGTGTGTTGTTCTATATGATTATTTTTAATGCTGATGGTCTTACTGCACTCTGAAGGTCAAAATTTAATCTAGCTGACAAAAGCTCCCATAGCAAAGACGCAATTAGATGCTAAGTTTGTACCAAGTTATTACACAATTCATCAACCATTCTTTCGTAACACAGATTTGTGAGTATAAATCGCAAGTGCTGGATTCAGATGTGCCTGGGTTAGCTGAAAGGCCCATCAACATATTCCTTCCTCGATTATTTCAGGTGAAATGCATTTACTTGTATTGAAATTCCATCATTGCATATGTCAATTCTCTGTTGTTGTCGCTAATTATGTTTCTGTGGTATAAGCAGTTTTTTCAGTCTCCACATGCTTCTCTAAGAAAGCTTTCATTGGGTTCTGTAAACCAATACATTATGTTGATGCCTTCTGTAAGTTAACTTGAAAGTTTGTAATCTTAATTGTAATGGATGTCATTCTGATACTTTTGGGACAGTATTCGATATTATACATTAATTTCTTGCAGGCTTTATACAAATCCATGGATAAATATCTTCTGGGTTTGTTTGTCCTTGCTAATGACCCTTTTGCAGAAGTGCGGATATTGGTGCATAGTTTCTCTTTTTCCTCTTGTACACTCGTTTTTAATTATAATTAAGTCTTTTGCATGGAATACTCAAATCTGCTGCAAGTATTTCCTAATTTTCCTTATAATTTATTATAACAGCAAGTCTATAAAAGCTTGGCACGAGTCACTTTTCATTTCTGATTTTCTGGTTTCGGCATTGATTTAGAAGCTGCAGTATTAGAATTAGACTTTTTTTTTTTTTTTTATCTAGTCCTTGATGTTAATGGTTCTACGGTTTTTTCGGTCATGAGACTATAAACTTGCTGGACAATACATGCATTAACTAGAATACTATGAAAAGAACTGTTTCTTTCTCTTACAAAATTTTTAGTATTGCGAGTTAGTGCTGAATTGTGGGATGCTATCTTGTCTCTTCTAAGCTTGAGTATATTTAGATCAATGCTTTTTTTGCCAAATGATCAGGTTTCTGCAGCATTTATTCAGCTAATTGAAGTCCGTCCATCTTTTCTGAAGGTGGGTATCTTTTGTTTGTTACATTTTAGTTTTCTCACATTTTTTTTATTGCAGTTCTTTTCGTAGTTTCAGTTCTTTTTGTCTTATGTCATACTCTTTTGTCTTTTTATTCCTATCCACAGTCTACTTTTTCTTTTCTCTGATGTGTTTTTCTAACTATTTCACAGCCACATTTGAAGAATGTAATTGAATATATGTTGCAAGTCAATAAGGACACTGATGATGAAGTGGCACTTGAAGCATGTGAATTTTGGTAACTTTGTTCTTTGTGCATTCTATGTCTGAATGTCTTATATGAGTAAGATGTCTTTTAAAACCATATTTTTGATAGCTTATGCAAATTGACAAGCTTCAAACTAATAGTTTTTGGTGGAATGCAATATCCCTTTAATTTAACCTTTTTTTTTTTCTTTTTTTATATATTTTTTTACTTTCTCACCTTTGCTTGTTCACATAATATGCGTGTTAAATATTTCAGAAGTGTTGGGGGTGTGCCTGTTTTAGCTGGGGTTCAGTATGATAAGGAGTTCATTGTATGCTCGCTTGATTTGCTCTCTGGACTTGCAAAGGGCCTTGACAGTGGAATAGAGAGTTTGGTACTTGCTTTCTTCTTTGCACTTCATGAAAAGAGATGTGATCCTCTACCACCCCCTCCACTCTGCCCCAACCCCCTTTTTTACCTATCTGATCCAAAGTGGGCATTGCTTTTATCTTTGTGGAAAGTTTTTGTTAGAAATTCATGTGAAGCAAAATTGCAGGGAGCCCTCGATGAGTATTGGCTGACTGGGTAATTAGCCATTGGTAAAATGTTCATATAGGAAACTTTCTTATGCTATATTTTCCTTTAAAATTTGTATATCTCATCCCTTAATATTTGAAAGATTAATTGTCATCATACCTAGGGTTTGATCACTTGTCATTTGTTCCGGTATTGGTGTTGCAAACTGGATATTGCTGTTAACTATTAAATTTATGATTAGTTAAACATGTTATATTACAATGTGAACTTGTATGTTTGTTTTGTTCATGTGGACCTATTACATGCAGGTTTCACAGAGTAATTTGAGGGACCTGCTTCTGCAATGTTGCATGGATGATGCTTCTGATGTTAGACAAAGTGCCTTTCCACTTGTTGGGGACCTTGCAAGAGTAAGTTAAAAATGAATCCACCAGTTTAAAGCTATAGGCTAAATTTAAATTTGACCCTTCCCTCTTTTGCGATGATAAGGGGGATTCTTTTACGTGAAGCTTGTATATCTCTTAATGAATAAGCCTCAAGCATGGTCCCAAACTCCCGGCTGATCCACTTCAAACTTCTTGTTGTATTCTTGTAGTGCTTTGTTAGTTTATTTTAACTTTATTCAAAATTTGACCTTGATTAGGTTTGCCCTGTTCATTTGCATCCTCAATTGTCTGACTTTCTTGATGTTACAGCCAAGCAATTGGTAAGCACACATTTCGGGATTCCAGATCTCAGTTTGCCGTCTTTATAATTTGTGTAATATATGTCCATGCAGAACACTCCCAAGTTAAAGGAAACCACTTCAGTGGCAAACAATGCGTGTTGGTCTATTGGAGAGCTAGCAATTAAGGTATGTGAGCTCTTCTTTCTTTGGCTTGATGAAATGAGATTAATTAACCATTTTGTTGACTCACTGTAATGAGTTAACACCCCCTTGGTTCTTTTACCGCCATGTTTTCCTCATTTGTCTTTTTAATTTCAGGTTCATCAAGAAATTTCTCCAATCGTCATGACTCTGATCTCATGTTTGGTTCCAATTCTTAAGCATGCTGAGGTAACCTTCCCTTTCTGTTGTTGAAGTTTGTTGGCATGCTACAAATATGCATAACTAGGTGTTTGTGCATTACTTCCTTTATGTGTCCCCTATGATACCATAATCTCATCTGTGTATGATTAGCAGGGGCTCAACAAGTCACTTCTTGAAAATAGTGCAATTACATTAGGGAGACTTGCATGGTTCTGCCCAGAGCTTGTATCACCACACATGGAGCATTTCATGCAATCATGGTGTATTTCTTTGTCTATGTAAGTATTAGTTTATCTCTCTTTTAAATTATTTCTTGATGTACAGTTAAACTATTGTTATCTACAGGTACATTTAGTTACACTTCATAGAGCGTAATTCATTTTTTCACTTTGTTAGCTTTGTATTATGTCAACTCATCTGATAAACAATTTGTGGCAGCATTCGTGATGATAATGAGAAAGAAGATGCTTTCCGAGGTCTAGGTCTATGTGCGATGGTATGAATCTGCTTTTATAATAATTTTTATTTGTTATTAATAGTTAAAATAATAATATAATTTGTGCTTGGGTGGTACTAAACTTTTTCAGGGTAGGGCAAATCCATCAAGGTAACTGAGTTCACTTGTTTTCATATGCAAAGCTATTGCAAGTTGGTATGTAAAGATTACGTGTCATAATTCGACACAAAAATATTAAATATATATTTTTTTATTTTATTAAATTTATATATAATTATTATTAAAATTTTATGCTATCACCTTTGTGTCTTCTTTCTTATTGTATTGTAATACTGTATCGTATTTTAGATTGTCAAGCCTAGTGGAATTTTTTTTTTTTGTTATAATTATTTACTTTTGTGCGACAATGAGATTGGGGTTTCATAGTATGGACAACAAATGTTAGCCTGCTGAGACTCAAATGAACTAATGGATGGTGTACCGTGTGGGCCACAAACAAAGCAGAATTTTGGCTACTCTGATTCTCTGCAAGTTTTTACTTGATTTTCTTATTTGTAAGTTTTTCTAGGACTTCCCCTTCTCTTCAATCCTATTGCCTCAGTTTCTTTTCCTCATATTCTGTTTGGTTTAATACTTTTTTTATTTACTTTTATTTTTTTTTTACTAAAAACGAATTAAAGTAAAATATAATAAATAAATAACAAGAGCATTGAATCTCATTTTTTTTGACATATATTCTCTAAGAATAGGGACAAAATCCAGTTGGGAAATATATATGATATATCCAGGTTGGACAAAATCAACAATTATAAAATTAATAGTATTAAGATGCTTAAAATTTTTAAGATTTTTATATATTTATAATTTTGATAATTTAAAATATGATATGATGATACGATATAAATATATTTAAAAATTAAATATTAAAATAATAAATTTAAAATTTTAATAATTATTATATAAATTTAATAAAATTAAAAAAATATATTTTATATTTTTATATTAATATAAATTATGATATATAGTTTTATATAACATATAATATATAAATTTTAATATTTTAGATTATATGAATATACGAATGAATTATCGGAGAGAAAAACAAAAATGAAAAGAACAAACAAAACAAAATCCAAATCTAGCTACTGCCATTGCAGAGACAGCACAGTTCGATGAAACTTCAAAAGGTCTTGATTTTCCTCCTTCCTCTACACGCGCGCGTGACAGACGTTATTAGTCCTATATCAGACAAATGTTTTAAATCTACCGGTTCATTCAAAGAACGCGCCAACCTGTCGCTTGAAGTACCCTTCATTCATTCTCCCTCCTGCTGGCCCAGATAACAACCTTTGGAAAACAGCCTTAAAAATCAGCTGTGTCTGAAATTCTCCGAAAATTCTTCCAGATTTGTCTCTGCACACCCCAAAGTGAAAACCCATCTATTTGTCCTTTCAATTAGTTAGTATTAACTATCAAGTATTATATCTACAAAGCTAAAAGGCTTAAGCCAAAAATTTTACCTTTCCAAATATAGCAATCAATCAAAAACAAATCCTCTAGATTCATGGCTACCGATAATTCCATAATTGAAGACCCAAATACAAAAACAAACAAAGAAGCCAACCTAAATCTTGATCATCCTTCAATAAATTCTCATTCACCAACTTTTTTCTTACACAACGGCTTCAGTTCATCTCAGGTTTCAGACATAGAGATGATCACGATGCAGTCCGTTTCTTACACGAGTTTGAAGGACTTGTTGCCTACACAAACTCCAGCGATCGCATCACCAACGCATAATTCAAGTTGGCATGAAATTCCCATCAAGAATCCACTTGTTAAGCATGCTGCGTTGGCTTATTTGCTGCCCATGTCGAGTCCACCGGAGGTCGGAGAAAAGGGTTTGTTTGGAAGGCTTAAGGAAAGGTGCTGCGGTGAATGTGGGTGCGTTTTGTGGTTATATGATGTCGTTTGGAGGAGCGTCAAGGAGGCGTTTTGGGAGAGGAGAGAAGAGGTTTACGATGATTATTATGACGATGATGAATACAAAGTTGACTGAAACTGAGATGGCAGCTCCCTCCTTTTTTTTTTCCTATCTCAGTGGCGGTTGAGGTTTGACCGGTGGATAGTGGTTCAATTTGTAAATAGAGATTCATTTTTGGGTTTTTCATAAAATTTTTTTGGCTTCTTGCTTTTGTAAGTACGGAAAAAATCATTGAAATATTCAATGTTAACAGTTCAACATACTTGATTTCAGGAAGATGGATGGAAGTTGCTATTTTGCTGTGAAGTTAATACAATTTCGGATTCGTTTTTTTTTTTTTTTCTTTTAAATTACGTTTAATTAATCCAACTTATAATATTAATAATTTTTGAATGGTTAAGGTTCAAGGATTGATTGCAAAGTATTCATATTCAAATTTTACGATTTTTTATTGATAAGTGATTCATAATTTTTTTTATAAGTTAACGATGATTTAAAAAATGTAAAACTTGATTTGCTTTTAAACTTTTTTTCTTAAAAAATTTTCAAGAATCACTCTTTGATTAGTGGCAAAAGGACAGTGATTAATAAAGTCTAACTATTGAGTAATTATAAGATAAATCAGTAAATCACTCTTAAAAGCATACGTGGGGCTCCTCGTTTTCTTATTAGTTACTAGGTTAGGTTAGTTTCATTCTGTACATTCCATCTGTCCTTATAAAAGCATCAATTTTGCTCTAAGTTACATGCATATAATAGGTGAAGTACATATGCAGCAATCTTGACAAATGGTGTGGACTCTGGACTATAGCTCACTAACCCAAAGTTTCTTTGTGGTGCATAATCTGAAATATAACTATCAAATAACTCGGGATTTAATCAAATTCATTCATGCAATTATCTCAATAATTTTGAGATTTAAATTTTAACATTTATTTTTTTTTATTTTTACATTGCGAACAATTGTAAAAAGATGTAACTATCAAATTCTCCACTTTAAATTCTTTACTATGTTGGGGAGGAAAGTTTGCTGGTTGGCCAAGCTTAGTCGTCTCACATGTTAAAGCTAAGTAGTACTATTAGTGGTTCAGTTTGATTAAATGCCTTGTCCAAATTACACGTAAGTCGATGACATTGCCACCAATTCATCAATGACTATGATAGTTTCATAACACAAAAATGACAGGCATTTTTCTAAACGAATAGTGCAAGGAAAACTATGCCTACAAGCCTGTTTGGTAACATGCAAAATGTTGCACGTAATGGAAGAGGAAAGGAAAGTTCACCAAAACTTCAAGGAGCTTAGGTGTTTGTCTGTAAACAAAATTGTTTCTTTAATACATCTTTATGGTCTGTCGAAAATAAAGAACACCCATGCACTATTATTGCAAAATACCAGAGGAAATAAGCTACAAGAATGTCAATCAAATGTACATGAAAATATTACAGAATCATTGATAAAAAATTACATCATTTCTCGTCAAATATTTTAGCTACGTGTTTTAAACCAAATTAATAACATGTCAAAGAACCTGTAGTTGAGTTTTAGAAATTCTTCATTCCTCAGGAGTGCTTTGAAGTTCAGGACTCCAAGAATGGTGGCTGTTCTTAATTGCATTGGACCTCATAAGATGTTTTCTTCGCTGAAGATTTAAGCGTTTTTCTACAGATATTGGAGATGGTGATGATTGGTAATTTGCGCTAATAATATTCCTACTACCACCATTAATAATTCCTGACATTTGTGCTTCAAATCTTGCTTCCTTACGACAAATGCCTCCACTGTTAGCCTGCGAAATGGCTTCTAACAAATTGCTTCTCAGAGTTTTCTGATTTCGGCTTCTAACAAATTCTTGATCCATGGTAAATTTGCCTTTTGTTTTATCGTTAGAAATTAAAAAAAAAAAAAAGGGACAAAAAGCATGGTGAAACTGAACCCCAAATCCCAAAACATGGATTCCATCTATTTATCGACCGACAGGCGTGGCCATCGTGGGCGCACGATATGGACAAGGATTACAAAGCCCAATGATCCAACCCAACCTGACGTTTTAGCCGAAGAAAAGCTTAGTGCTAGTACTAATTCAACGCAGAGAATAACACTTGGAGCCCAAACATTGGTTTTAGACTATCTATAAACTTTTATAGCCTTCTCTTAGGTTTTCCATTTTCCCTCACTTTCTTGGGAAAATATGCCAATGTATCTGAACAACAGCGGGGATGGTGTAAACAGAGGGCCATGCTTGAGTCATGAATGAGTAGGAAAGCATAATTAGAGTTACTTTTGGGTGAATCATGCTCAATAATGTTTATTACTTTATTCTCACCTGTTTGTAAACTATATAGCATATGATTTATATTTTTATACTCCATGTTTAATACATGGGACAACTTTACTGGTTTTATGGACAAAAAGTTTATTTATGTTTCATGTGAATAAATGATCAAAGAGACTCATGAAATTTTTAATTTAAAATATTATCTTTAATAGTATAAATAAATTGTATATGATCGATTACGATTATATTTATAAGTTATTTATTTAACTAATAAATTATAAAATATTATTTTTAATTATTTATTAAATTTAATAAATAAATAAAAACGAGTATGTTCATTAGTTATTCATCGAATGCTTATGAATAAATTTTAAAATATTATTCGTGATTATTTGTTAAATTTAATAAATAAATAAAAATTTAATATATTCATGAATTATTTTTAAAATATTTTTTTCGTTTAGACCCTTATGCTCATCATGCATTCAAAAGAATCATTTTGTTTTAACATAAATATTTATTTTAGATTGAAATCTTTATAATTTAACTTTTTTGTTGAACTTAATTTTAAATAAAGAAGTACATTATAGTTTAACTTTATATCTTAACCTACAACTTAATTTTCTTGCTTTTCCTTTAATTTTTGAATTGATCTTAAGATCAGTGACAGAAAATGATAAATTGCAATCGACCAAGTACACTGTTTGAAATTTCACTTCAAAAAAAAGGTTAAGCTGATAGCATTTTGGAAGCAAACAACAATTATTGCTAAAAACCAACTTAAGAAAAACCAAGACAAATTGAAACAACCCTACAGACTGTTTTATGATAGGTTAAGCTCATTAGTATTTTGGAACCAAACAACAATTATTGCTAAAAAACCAACTTAGAGAAAATCATTACAAATTGAAACAACCGACGAACTATTTTATCATATTAATTTTGCCATCAATGGTAGATTGTCTTTTTTTTTTGTAAGCTTTAGAGGCAAGTTAAACTGTTCAAGGTTTGACAAAAGCTTCGGTGTCGTTATCATCCGTTTATTTCAAGTTTAATTCATTTATCACTTTCTGATGAACTTAGTTAATTAGAAGTTAAGCAACTGGGGGTGTTTTTACTTTTTGATCTCTTTTTTGTCATTTTCAGAATAAAATCAAGGGAAAAAAGATCCACATGACTCTCTCTTGCTCTTGTATTTAACCCATCAACATCGAGTCAATTACGACTCTTTAGACTTTCACAGTTTCGAGCGTTAGTGTTCAGCAGTAGGACTTTGCTTTTTCATCCATTCAGAGAGAGAGAGAGATGGAGAAGAAGCTAACAGCGTTAAGCCATCTCTTCGTGACGGTTTTCATGTCAGGTTTTGCAAGCTTCATCGTGGTTCCGGTCATTACTGATGTTACCATGGTCGCCGTTTGCCCTGGCACTGATGAATGCTCCCTAGCCATTTACCTTTCTGGATTCCAACAAGCTGTACGTGTTTCTTCTACTTTTGTTTCTTCTTTTACCAATATCGTCTTCATCTTTAACCCTGAAAATCCTGGAAAGTTGCACTCCCTGTCTTTTCTTAACAAACAACAAACAGAAGAAAAAAAAATTGTATATTCTTTGATTCTCCTATTCTTTACTTTTCTTCTTCCTTTCTCAAAAACGGAAAATAATAATAAAAAAAGGACAAAAGACTAGAGAGACAGTCTATCAGTCTCATCATTTTCATGTCTTCTACTAGTATCATGGAAGAACGGAGAAACTGGAAAATATTTTAGAACCCATTTTTTTGTTTTTTTTTTGGTTTCAAATGAAGAACCATAACAGTCCTGTAAAATTCTACTTTTTTTTTTTTGTTTTTTACCTCATTTTTTTACAATAAATTACAAATATCTTCAATGTTAATGTATGGTAAGGTTATAATACATGTGGAAAAGTATGCACCAGCAAGTTTATTTTATTTTATTTTTATTTTGGTCGTCAGTTTTTTTTAGGTGAGAGGCCATTTGGCTCACTAATCACCATCTTAGCTACTGTTCAAACCTACCAATATTCGGGTCTTTTCCTTCCAAACAAACCGATTCCTGAATTTGCGTGATGTCATTTTGGATAATTCACATCTAAGATATCACGATCGCACAAACTTTTTTCGTCACTCAAGTATATATGCCTTTGTTGGGCGACTAAAGTGGAAGAGGGCAAAACCTGAGATGGAAGCAACTTGCCACAGTGTCGACAAAAGACAAAAGGGTCGTGTTAACATGTCCATTACAAGATAACTTTCACAGAATTTCAGTTCAGAGTTATTAAAATTTAATTTTATAAGAAAAAAATTGGGAAAAGAGCTTAGATTTTTTTCTTTGAAGCTTATTCTTCGATTTGGATTGTGTTTGTCGATACCTTAAATTTGGATCAATAATATTATTAAAAAACCCATTATCATAAACGTGAGTAAATCAGTTAATTAATTGATTTTTGAAGAAAGCATTTCCAAATCATAAACCAACTTGATTCATCTTTGAACATGTTGATGTATCCAATGGATTCTACATATTGGTTTTCTTAGAAATTATTCCTTCAATTTGGTGGCATTTATTGCTTCCGTGTGACAGTGTCTGGTGTGATGCAGATCATAGGACTAGGGACGGCCTTGATGATGCCACTTATTGGGAATCTGTCGGATCAGTATGGAAGAAAAGCTCTGCTCACATTACCTATGACTTTGTCTATTATTCCCCTCGGTATGATATGAATAGAGATTTCACTACTTAGCTTCGCTTAATACTAATTGGTGTCTCATCAGTGCTTCCATGGTCCTATCTGTGGGCCAAAACACATGTTTCGTGTTATGCCTATTGGTGTGGGTTGACGGGTTACCTCATGGTTACTTTGCCAACTTAATCTGGTCAGTCATTGTCAAGTATTTATATACCTTTGAATTGGGTTGTAGGTGAGGAAAGTGTTATGGATGCCATTTTGGCTTGTTGCTTTACAGGTTGTTAAGGCTTCACCATTGAAAGTTTGCATCTGCCGTGTGCTTTAATTTCTCTGTGCTTTTTTGTTTTTGCATCCAATTTCACATCGAAAAATTTCGAGTCTGAGTCCGTTCACTTATTGCCCCCTTGCTTCCCATGTAAACCAAATAGTTCTTTATGAGTGAGTGGTCACATCTTGATGTTAGTGCCGTTACCTTAAAAATCTAGCAAAGGCAAGAGTTGTGCCTTTTTTTTTTTTTCCATCAAAGCAATTCGAAGGATGACATATATCTATTATCTTATGTGACCATCTTCTTGCAGCTGTATTGGCATGCAGCAGAACAACAAATTATTTTTATGCCTACTATGCGCTCAGGACTCTCACTGCCATGGTCTGTGAAGGCAGCATTAACTGCCTTGCTCTTGCTTATGTGGTAACTAATAACCCTGAATCATCCTTCATTGCCTTGTAATTTTGGCAGCAAGCACTTTTTCACAAGCCTGGTACTTGATTCTATGTTAAACTATTAATGATGGAGTTCCATATAAGATGTCAAACAGGCCAATTTTTAAAAGATTACTGACTCAAAAAAGCACCTTGCGCATGTTCCTTAACCCCTTTAAATATTAGTAACATTTTATTTCAACCCGTACTCAAGCACAAACAAAATGATTTTACGAAGAGTTGATTATTTGCATTAGATTATCAAACACAACAATCTTCAGTCCCAAAACTGAAGTAAATATACATATTTGGCTTTACCACATGTATGTCAACCATATTTATTATTTGATGGAAGTTGTGGTCTTGGTCTTTCCTTTGCAGGCAGACAACATTTCTGATAGCCAACGGGCATCTGCATTTGGAATTCTCGCAGGCATAAGCTCAGGTGCATTTGTCTGTGCAACCTTAGCAGCTCGTTTCCTCGCCACTGGTTCCACATTTCAGGTTTTTCCTTGAGACTTCTCTAGAACCTCTGAACTGTACCTTTGCTCATTGTTGCATCTCAAAATTTTTGTTACAAGTTTTTTTTACCCTTTCAGGTTGCTACATTTGTATCAATACTTGCAGTAGTGTACATGAGAATATTCCTTGAGGAAAGTATACAAAATCAAGTCAACGGTATGACACAACCAATCTTGAAAGAAGGGGAAGATGTCATTCAAAAGGATGGTAATGCACCTAGAGAGATGTCAGTGTCCAAGAAAATTCCATCCGTGGGAGATATTATTTCCTTGCTAAAGGGCAGGTAAGGCTTGGTATGGTAATATTTTCTAGCACTTTGGCCTAATCCCAGAACTGGTAAAGTTAACCTATCAATTTAAAGAAGTGAAGGCATAAGTTGTTTTGATGGACTAATCCTCACTATAATTTGATGTAATCGTGTTATTATTAGTGTTTGAAATGACTAATAAAGTTTCAATTTCAGTCCATCATTTTCCCAAGCAGCAGCTGTTGCTTTCTTCAATAGTCTTGCAGAGGGTGGGATGATATCTTCATCAATGGTGTGGCTTCCTTTCTAATTGTGAAAAACCTTTGCCAAATAGAAACTTGAGATAAGTTTGTTGATCTCATCATCCAAAGATACATAGCTGAAAATTACAAAATCAACGATTCAGAAGCAAACAATTCTTCAAAGCTTTTCTTTTTTCCAGAAATGGCAGCTAATGTTTCTTGTAGCTGATAAGAGTCATAGAGTAGGTTAAAGTCTCTATGCTTGTAACAGCTAACCAATCTGAGCCTCGATAAATTGATCAAATGTCCAAATTTTATGCTTGTGCATTTCTCAACCTTCAAGTGCAATCTTGTGATCAAACAGATTAAAGTCTCTTACAGCCACCTGGGCAAATTTTTCTTCCATGCAGTTCTATTTAAAGGCTCGTTTCCACTTTAACAAGAATCAGTTTGCTGATTTGATGCTAATTGCTGGAATTGTATCAACTATTTCACAGGTATATATACTAGTATAAATATTGTTGTTGGTACACTTCTCATACTACTACTTGACTCTCGTTTTCTTTTGTTTTCCCTATTTCCATTTCATATTTTGGGTCTCCAACAATCAAGATTCATATTTAGTCTTATATGCTTCTGAATCCTGCAGTTGTTTCTCATGCCCTTATTGGTATCTCCCATAGGAGACAGAAGGTTGCTTTCAATAGGACTTCTAGTCACCTGTACAAATGTAAGAGTTGCATTCTTACCTTGTTCAACCTTTTATTATTACTCCGTCTGATATAATGTGCTTTAAGCTGATGAAATTGTAACCATGTGTTGAGAAGACAAACCACTGATGAATTTTGTACCTGGTGTAATGCAGGCCATTCTTTGCAGCATAGCCTGGTCAGCTTGGGTAATTTCTTCATCAAAGTTGCTATAGCTTCATCTTCTTTTACTACTAGAGCAGAAAAAAAAATTCTTGTTCTCTCATTTGACACAGAGAGAACCTTAAAATCAAAGTTATGTAACCTGGATTTTCAGAACAAGGTGACATGGCAACCACCTTGAGGAAATAAAAATCAGAATATCAGATAAAAATAGCATTATTTTAAAGTTTGAGATTGTATGAGTTCTATTTCAATTTTGCAAATAATGCTTTTGCAACGAAATCAATCCACTGATGAGTATATATAACTCATTCCTTTGCTTCTGACTAAGCCATTCGATATGTAACATTGGGAGGAAACACATTTCTATGCAGGTTCCATATGCAGCTACTGCATTGTCTATTGTGATGGTCTTTGCACCACCATCTGTGAGTTCTTTTGCTTCCATCTCATGACAGCTTTGTTCTGTTACCTGAAAGACTACTTTTGTTGATTGAATCTTAATTATGAATTATACAGTTACGCAGTATTGTATCAAAACAAGCTGGCGCCAGAGAGCAGGTAATTTCTAGCAAATTGGATTTCCAGTGTTGTTCTTTTGTCCTATTTCAATCCTCTTGTTCATGCATAATTTTAACTGGTAAAAACAAATTACATCAGGGGAAGGCTCAGGGATGCATATCAGGCGTGAGTTCCTTGGCCAACATCATTGCTCCATTAATCTTTAGTCCTCTGACAGGTGTGTGAAGACTGGTATTTTATTCCCTTTTCCCAAAAATTTATAGCTTTTATTGAAGAATATGAATTAATCACTTCTCCCTTTGTTCATCCAGCATTGTTCCTGTCTGAAGAAGCGCCATTTCATTTCCCTGGCTTTAGTATTATGTGCATTGCGATAACATTGGTATGAACTTTTACCTAGTAAAACTACTATTGTCAACACACTTCTCATATTTCAACATCGAACATTTATTATTTATCTGTTTGATTTAGCATGAGCATCTTGATTAGTTCTAGTATGGTAACCTGTAATCAATCGGCCCCCAACAACTAGTTTTTACTTTGCAGCTTTTAATAACTTCTTCAGGAAAAAAAAAAAAAAAAAGAAAGGAAAAGGAAAAGAACTTTATGAGCTTCACTGAATGCAGCACGTACATACACCAATAGAAATGCTTCTACTACAAGTCACTGTCCATAACTGGTTATAAATTCTGCATTCATCAACAGCATATAATGTGCCACAGTAACCTAAATCTGTCTTTAAGAATGCCAAATCCAATAGGTTACGGAGATTGGATTCTTCTAATAGATCAAAAGCTTTAATTTGACTAAGATTGATCCAACCTTTTTATCTGTAAAAGGCTGAACTTAAAATTTGACATTAGTAGAAATCAGTCTCACCAGAGCAGCATAGCCCTGCTGATAGCTTCACACACTTTTTTTTTAATCATTGTTTCTATCTATCGCTTGCAGCTTCATTCCTTATGACTTAGGTAACTAAAACGACTTTTATTTTTTGACAGATGATTGCCTTCATTCAGAGTTTGATGATAGGGAGTGCTCCTTCAACTTCCAGTGACGAAAACAGCGGTAACTGCATTGAGGTTTAGTTGGGATGGTTTAAATGATATATACTAATTATAGAAAGTGAAAGCATTTCATGAAGGTTGCCTCTTTTGAAAGGCAGAAGAAAGCTATTGAAAGAGATTGTTACAAGTAAATTCACTCGGTTTGTAAATATGTAGCATACAGATGCTTCTATGTTCTGATTAGTTATAATAACCTGCCAAAAGAGTGGCAAAAGCTGATGTGCAGTTGATCAATCAGATTTGTTGACCCATTCGTAGGTTTTATTATAGAAACCAAAAGCAAGATTAAATATGTAAGTTCCAAGTAACCAAGGCATTTTGGTCCTTTAATGGGCTCCACAAGTAGAAATTCTCCCTCACAGATCAACAGGTAATATAGCCACATAAATAAAAAAATGAGAAAGAACTTAAATGTCCAATAAAAGAAGCAGTGGACATAAATATTTGTAAAACCCCACTCAATGTGGTTTAACTTAAAGCCCTATGTACAATTACTAAACATGGTTGCCACAACAGGATCATTCAACTAAACAAGTCCTCTGGACCAGAGGCATTCCCACCACCATCTGAAGAAGCATCACTGTTGGCGTTGAATGACAATACAAGTTCTAGCGGTACCCCGCCAGCGATTGAGGAGTTTTCTCCGTTCTGTTCTGGGCTACTCCCCCGCCTTTGCAGTGAAAACAAGCGCAACATCAGGTCCTGCGGTGTTGTTACTTGGTACATCCTACTCCTAGGTTTTGGTTTGAACTGGACACAGAAAGTGCAAAATTACAATCACATTAATCATTAGCGTCATTGTAACTCTCAAGAAATATTTTAGCATTGTAATTGCCATCATCAACATCATTATCACCATCATCATTGCAATCACTATCATCACCACCATCAACATCTTCATTGCCATTGTCACCGTCATCGTCATCATCATCATCATTGTAATCGTTATCATCATCAATGTCATCATAAACATCATTGTAATCATCATCAGTGTCATCATCATCATTGTCGTCCTCCTCATCGTCATCATCATCATCATCATCATCAGCAGCAGCAACATCAAAAAAATTATAATCATCATCATCCTCGTTGAATGCAGCAAAGGAAAACAAACGAAACAGAGCTGGTTTTGGCACCTTTTGCAAAGAAGTAATGGCAGAGTGATCAGCTCCTCTGCTTCTTATACATCTTTAGAATGGTATCGCCAACCAATCAGCATGAATTTACACAATTAAGAACAGAAAGCCAACTTTGGTATTAAATTCAATGATTCCTGGGTTGCTAGTTGGTAAGCTACCTTGGCATCTAAAATACATGTCAGATTTTCTACCATTCGTAGAATTCCTAGGAGTACATGAATATTTTAGGACGCCAGGATGGTTGGACTAAAAGAGATTACACAGTAGTTTATCTCAAAGAAAAACTAAACAAGAAAAGCCTGCCAAAAGCCATTGGACCTTGGTTTACTATGGCGCATGTCTAAATCCAAAACCTTCTTCCTTCCTCTCAGAACAGATTTTTTTTTTTTAAGAACTTAAGTACCAAAACGACATTGTAACAGTTACTCCTATATCTTGAACCAAATCTTAAATAATTGTCTCTATTGGAGGAAAGAGAAACAATAACGAACAAGGGTGGGATGTTTCCACTTTTGTCCTACTGTCAAGCAGTATGTTTATGAAGCAAAATGCATTTTGATATCTTAAGCTACTTTATTTATAACCCAAAAAGTAATACCAGTGCTATTCTTTTATATATATATATATATGTTACTGTAAGAGATTAGAAGGATGAGACATACCTGTTCAATGTTTGTTGGAAGAGTAGCTTTATCAATAGCCTTTGGTGTCCATATCTTGATGTCAGTCTCGATTCCACTGCTGGCAAGAACTGTGGTATGAGGATGACACTCGATACAGTTGACCACATGCTTATCTGCTTCCATAACGCGAATGAGCTCTCCGCCTTTCTTCTTCCAAATAAATATTCGGCCACAGTCAGATCCACTAACCACATACTCAGATTTAGGTCCAAAGAAGCTCACACCTTTCACCGTCTCCTGATTTCTATGTCCCTTATAAACTTGAGGAATAGCCTTTTCATCAGCATCCATAGCTGAGTGATCAAATCCCATTTCACTTGCTTCACTAAATGCAGATAATGGAGATGATGGGACTGGATTGGGCCCCAGTCCCATATCCTGTGTAAAGAGATAGATGAACTCATTTATGTAGGTGACGAGAATCTCACTCTGATCTGAAAATGCCAAGCCTGTTATTCCAGCTTGATCATCACCAATCAAATGAGGGGGGCGAAAATAATCTGTAGGTTGACCAAAATCAGTTGAGCCATCCCACTTATATTTGCGAATATCATAAAGGCGAGTATACTTATCCATTCCAGCAACTGCAAAGAGATTTGGGTTCCTTGGATCAATTGCAATAGCATTGAGAGGGATAACTGGCATGTAAGCCCTGCTATCATCAATGTGAGAGCATGTGAAAAGTTTTGTAGGTGCTGCAGTTCTAAGATCAATCTGAAATGCAAGTGATAATGTAACAGGGCTGTATAAGTCAGCTATATTAAAATCCAGACAAAAAATCAGGTTATTAGAGGAAAGGTCATCATACAACAAAAATAAGAGAACAATAACATGAGAATGCAGTGGTAAGACTATGTTCTCAATTAAGACACCACTTTCTCTGGCAAACAGCCATTCGATAAGAAAAAATAGGTACAGAAAGATAAGACGACAAGAAAAGAATCAATTGCAGGCAACCTGATATCTAAATTTAACTCCTCAAAAGGTTGTCCAACTCAGCCACATATGACTTAATAAAAGTTTTCTTTAATCCCATAAATGTTCGTAAATTATCAACTAAAAGAATTGAAAGGAAATAATGATGACTCTGCAGTTAAGCACAACTCACATGCTGCACTAATCCATCTTCACCGCAAGTGTAAAATATATGAGGGCTTCCTGGTTCAATGGCCAAGTTATGAGCTTGTCCCTGATGTTTGGCCAGCAGCCTAGTTTCGACACCACATTCCAAAATTTGAGCATGTCGAACCTATAATTAAGAATCAGTTCTCAGTTAGAATTAAAACTCCTTGAATTCAGTATATAAGGTCCTTGCTTAAGCACATGCTAAAGTTTAGCTGCTTAACACTTTTTTCATTTAAGCCTCATTTTCCTTCTAAGTGAAAAAAGAGACAGAAAGTAGGTGCAATAATCCTCATCCCAGAGGAAGATAAAAGTTTTGCAGTTCAACAGAGAATTTGGTACTTTGTTGCTTTTGACCACATAATATATAACAGAGAGTTCAGAGAGTTCAAAGAATTCATAATATTGATGGATTAAAACTTAAAATTTTTTGCATATAGAGAAAAAGATGGAGAAATATTAGGAAAACTTAGCTTGTTAACTTACACATTACATTCAAAGAAAGAGAAAAGATTGGTTTAACTTGTTCTGTTTAAGTACTTTGTAAACCAATGCAAGGGTTACCATAGTTTAGTTATGTACTTTGTAAACCAATGCAAGGGTTACCATAGTTTAGTTATGTAAATAAATACAAATCCCATATGCAATTTTATCTTTACAAAAATAAACAGGACTTGAAACGGAACTACTTTAACTTCCTGGCTCCAGAAAAATTTGTTAAAACTATTATCAACGGGTGTATTTTTATGATTCACATAGAAAACTGATCACCAGCCCAGAGCAATTTTCTAAATTGATCCTAACATTTTAGAAAAACATTGCATGCCTAAATAAGAAATTCACCTGCCCATCTGCAGCACAGGTAACCAAGCTGCGATCATCTGTGTAAGGCATGATTTTTGCTTGGAAAACATTGCTGACATGACCTGACTGGAAAGAAAGCTTGGAATTTCCGGTTTCCCAATCCCATACTATAACCCGCTTGTCATCAGAGCCAGAGACTAAAATGTTACCATCAGAATTAAAGCTCACAGTGTTCACACAACCTTGGTGCTTTACAAGTTTCTTGTAAATGTCAAGTCGGAGCACAAGATCCTGGAACAAAAAACAATTAACTAATCAAAACCAACTGCAACATAGAAATTTCTAAAGGGTAAAAAGTTAGTATTTCCACTTTTTAGGCATTTGCTCGCTGGTCTGTCGCACTTATATTATAACCATATTAGCAATCCAAACCAATGTATTAAGCATACCCATTCATTCAAAACCTTAAGACACAAGTTCTCAGGAGCTAATGCTGATTAACAACAACACATCAAATGACAGCAACAATTAAAGCTGTTCATAAGAAAATTGCTGACATTGGAATTTCTCAGTTAACTATTGCAGTTACTATTAAAAAATCTATACTTGGAAGAAAGTTTTGAAAGAAAAAGATAAAAAATTTCCGATACAATCCTTGTCAAAGATGACATTTTTATCATCGCTTTTCCTATCACTAATTCTCATGATTTATCACCCATCATTTATTTTTCCAATCCCAAATCAATGATGGTTAAAAATTAACAATATCAACTAGAATCTACCTACCATCAATCAAAACTAATTTAAATTAAATCACAACAATAAATTTAGTTAACCATTATCAATTTCATAAATCAATAATCACTAAACATTCACCCACTAAAAAAATTGGAATATAGATAAAAAAAAAATATAAAGATCTTTATGAAGCGAAAAAAGGACTAATTTTGTGGAAGAACAAATAAGAAAAATAGGAATAAGGTTATCCGGGATGAGAATAAGGAGTTCGACCTCGGAAGCGGCAAGCCGGTGGGCGAAATTCCTAGTCGAGAGTTTCCCGACTTCCCTCTGCCAAACATCAACCACCGCCTTGTCCACACTCGTTCTTGCCCTTTTATTCTTCATCATCAATTAAAAGAAAAGAATTTTTTTCGAGAACTATTTAAAAAAAGAACAACGAATTAAAATCAATCAACTTCGATTCGCAGTTGAAAAGGTTTTGTGTTGTTCGTGACTCAGTGAGTCAGAGCGAGCACACAGAGAAATCAATTTCTTTCTTTTTGTTGAAGCGTTGGTTATGTATATATTGTTTCCACTGCAAACTGCAAGGGCTTTTTCTCTGCCGTTTATATATATGAGTTTCTGAGCGTAGATTTTGTGTGTTAACATACATGATTACACACGTACGTTAACTTAAACCTAAAAGGGGGCAAATCCAATGTTGATTTTTGTTCCATAGCATAAGGGTCTTGAAGCTCAATTAGGGTTTGACACGTGGCATTGTCAGTGGTCGGAAGTTGCTAGAACGAAGCTTTCAAGGTTTAGGACGAGGATTTAACATAAGCATGTGGTTAAGGTCAACGATTAAGAAGCTTCCAAACAGAATGATGAATTCTAGACACAACAAAAATCAGTGAGAAAATGGAAATCAATGGGATTGTCAGAAAAAGAAGAGAGGGTGAGCATCCATTGGCAAGATTGCTGTGTCCTTATATGTTTAGAGTGGAGGAAAACTTCAAACAAGATTTTTATGATTCTGAAAACCATGTCCCCATGTTTCAAAAGATGACAAGTTTAAAACGACGAAACCATGGACAAACAGATAGATAGGCTGTTTCTTCCTTGAGCAACGGAGCAAGGCATACCAGTTGTAATATATGATGACAAAGTTCCTCGTTTGATCCGTCAAGGGAGCCCAAGATGTTGCTGAGCACCATCTTGCCTTTGAGTTTGATATTTACTGATGCTGGTTTGATTTAGTTTGCAGCACTCTTGGTCTTCCAACATGAATTTGGTCGATTAGTTTGTATTTTATAATTAAAATGACAAAAAAAAAAATTACATCTCCCACTGTGAAGTATGAGGGTTTTACTTATTCCATTCGTACACCAAGCAAGCAAAACTGTATAAGATACATACATGTTTCTAAAACCATGGCATCCACCTTATATACATCTTTCCAAGGTTCTTGTGAGAGACTACCTCTGCAATCAAACGACGAGCCTGACCTTCCACAGCTAGAGGTAGAGAGATGGTGCCGCTCCAACACCAACAACCACCCCTTGCAACCTTGCCTCGATATTGCTTATGGCCCGCTGCAGTACTCAGACATGCTTTAGTTGTTATGCTGTAACTTAATATAGTATGAAGCATTTTATATCACAAGGAAGAGCTAGTTACAAGATGCAACAATGGAAAAGGAGGAAACAGATGATCCAAACCTGTGCATGCGGGTTCTGAACTTCTACTCCACTGGATTTGTGAGATTTTGTCCACTCCACAATAGGATCATAAATGAAAGTTTCAAGAACACTCATCATGGTCTCCCTATGTGTCCTCGGAACTGAAAGTGTTATTTCGCAAATCCTCAAAAAGATGCCCTCAAATCCAGTGATGACCAATCCATCAATCATGTTCTATATGTTCCACATTAAAAAAGAAATAGGACTATCAATGCACTACTATATTCTGTAAAACAGAAATCAGGAATAAGACTAAGAAGATTGTAATTCACCAATTTCAAATATATGGTTAATAAAATCACAGACAACTTGAATTTTAGGTAGAAAAAAATTGGGCGGTTATATTTCTTAGAAAGTCTTGTACTTGAAGAAAACAGAGCAAAATTCAGCACTGTCAACACATTATAGAATCCAGTGATAGTGCAACGTGCATGTATCATGAGCATTCTTACCTGGGTTAGCCTGAAAGGCACCAGCCCAGGCTTCTCCAACTGCAACCCCTAGTCAAATAAGCAACTAAAATCAACGTGAATAGAGTCACCTGTTGTAGAATCAAAAAGAATGTTCTCACAATGTCAGTCTCCAAGCCCGACAATATGCTCAACCATGGACCAAACAGCTGTTGTGTGAGCATAAGCAACTTGAGCCCTAAACCAAGCAGCAGGCTCTGAAAAAGTAGTTAAAAACCATTGATGGATAACTGATGAGAACATCAGAAGAATCTTGTTCTTCAACATCTCATCTTCTGGTATCTTACCCTCGCATTGATCATAAATCCGTTTAATTTGGGGATTTGTCTTCTGCCCGTCAAATTTGCCACATGTGATATATATGTCTTGAAGAATATGCTGCAGCCCTCGAGCATTAGACACCCATTCCACCATTCCACAGTCCTCTGCAAGAGGAATCACTGAATGTATAGTTTCCTCCTATGGCTTTCAGGGGACTTTGATAATAAGCAGTTTATCATTGCAGTGAATTCCATCATGCAGGCATCCATCCGGAAGTCATCTTTGGGTTTGCAGAGGAATGGACATTCAATGCCATCACGTCCCAATAATACAATCTGGATATACAAAAAAACATTATCAAGGTTATAAAGATGATGTGTAATGTTTTACTATTTGGACTCTTCAGATAGCTGATTGAGGGAATGTAATAGAGATCACAATCACAAATAAATGATATAACACACCACTATCTAGCTCGGGAGCCTACCTAACATGGTGTATAGAATTTAGACCCAAAAAAAAAAAACACATTTCAAGGAAAGGGATGAAGGCAACATTGGCATTTCAAACTCTCTATAAAATTACCCCTTTGTACAAATTTAGTAAAATCTAACTTAAAATTTTTAAAACTTTCTCAGACAACCTTATATGCAGGCTCTAGACACAGTTATGGCATGACATGAAAGTGATCAGTGATTAAGCTAAAATAAACAAGTAGAAGGAATATATTAAAGAAAACTTTTTCCCTTCTTTGGAAAACCAGGAAGCCTGAATTACATACTTTCTTAGGTCGCTGAAGAGATGAAAGAATCTCAGACTCATCAACTATTCCAGATATTGTAGGAAGCTCCACACCAGAAAAGATATCAGAAGAAAGGGATTCGGTTAGATTCACATCGTAGGTTGGCAGACTGACGGTAAGAGATTGTTGAATTGGCATGATAATGCCCAGAGGCATCATCCTTTTCAATGCACTGAATTCAGTTGAGATATTAATAGTCCTTGATTTTGGCTGGCCCTCATCGAAACACAGCTTGATGAGATGATCAATCAGGCCAGCAAACTGCACAAACAAATTGTTGTCACTATTTCCTAGGCCAAACCTTCTCCGTGCAACTTGAATGATTTCTGCAACTGCTTCCCTCCTGGAAGGAACTGTGGACTTTGAAACTGCTGCCATAATCCATAGTGCTAGCTGTGGATATTGCCGGACAACAGAAATGATTATGTTTTTGACCAATCTAACAATTTCTTCATTTTGGTGGCAAATTCTAGAAACCAGCTGAGGCAATACAGTTAACCACTGATATGTTGGCAAATCCTTCAAACAGCCTCGCATTATACTAGTTACCTGCCAAAAGATGAATCAAGAAAGAATGTCCATCATTAAGTAATAAGAAAAATGTGTCACCACTATTATAGGAAATAAAAGATAAAGTTCATATGAAAGTGTTAAACCTACCTTCCCTTGGACATTTTTCAAATCCTTATTAGAGGCTGCTTCACTTCGCTGATAAATGCTTCCAAACTCAAACCACAGGTTTAACATCCTTGGAAGTGCTTGGAAAAGATTCTTGTGACCCTGATGAAGCCCCTTTGCATAGAAATAACAGAACATCAGGAAGGTAAGACCACCAGTCTTTCTCAGTGTTTGAGTTTGAAGAACTAGCAATAGCAGAAGATGAGGGAACTATTCTGGAACCTAGCTCAAAATTCTCTTCTTGACGTTTCCTGCTGTGGGAAAACACTTATTTACAGCTGGTTGTAATCTTGTAATCTGTATATTTATATTTGTATCTCTAGAATTAAGTATTTGTATCCCTAGAATTAAGGAAGATTTAGTTTCCTAGTTTAACCCCTAGTGAGTTGTATATAAACCTAAGATTCTTGTATAATTGTAAATAAGTAGTTTTTCAATATACATTCAATTTCCAAGTGATATCAGAGCCAGCCCTAAACCGTTCGATCCACGCCAAGCACCTCGAGGGAGGCAGGCAGGGTGGTCAACTTCCGTGACGAGGGCGTCACGAGGTTGGGTGCGAGAGAATGTCACGGACCTAAGGGGGAGTCCTGAATCCCACATCGAACATAATAGGAAGGTCACTGGAGTATAAAAAGGTTCACACCACTTCAACCTTGTGAGGCGCCTTTTGTAGGACAAAACCGTGAGGGCAGGGGGAGCCAGAGCGGACAATACCTCACAAGGGTGTGAACCGTGGCAGGTAGGCTGATCTGGGACGCCGGAAAGGTGAATGCCTAGGTCCTGGAGTTGCGTGGGTTCAGAGCTTAAGTCTCGACCCGTGACAAGTGGTATAAGAGCTTTAGGCTCTTCTTGGGAAGAAAAATTTTCAGCCTTCATTGCTGACTTTTTTAGGCCTTCATTGCCGACTTTTTTAGGCCTTCATTGCCGAATCCTGTTTAAGCCTTCATTGCCGAACCCTTTCAAAGAAAGATATCACTATCACCTAATTTGAGGAAATGTTAACTGGAAAAATCACTGGAGTACTACAGATGTCTCAGAAACAAAGAGAATTCAACAGGGAAGAGATTGAAAAGCTGAGAAACTTATTGAAAATCCTTGAAAAGCCTACTATGGTATGTTCTTTGGGTAAAGTTTCTAGTTCAGGTAAAGCTTCCGGTTCTCATGGATTAAATGTCTCGACTAAGCCTATTACGAGTTCTTGGATCATTGACTCAGGAGCCACAGACCACATGACACATTCCTCACAAAAGTTTAGTACATATAACCTGTGTCCTAGTAATAAGAAAATTGTTGTTCCTGATGGTTCACTTACCACAGTGGCAGGATTAGGAGATGTTCAAGTTAATCCCTTGTTTGTTCTCAAAAATGTTCTTCATGTTCCTGGATTGTCTACTAATCTGATATCTATACAAAAACTTACCAGAGATATGAATTGCAAAGTAACTTTTTATCCCTCTTATTGTGAATTTCAGGACCAAAGTTCGAGGAAGATGATTGGACTTGCTAAGGAGAAGGATGGACCATACTATCTTGAGACATCAAATAACACAAGTAGTATCAAAAATAGTTTACCTTTGTCATTTCTTTCTGAAAAATCTTCCAATAAAGACAAAATCTGGCTTTATCATTTTCGTCTTAAACATCCTTCTTTTGGAACCTTGAG